ATGGTATCTCTTCTCCACAAGCACCACCAGCATGTCCTCTACCTTCAGAAGGCCAAGCTTCTCTACAGAACTCCCCCTGAGCTGAGAGCTGCCCACAGTGTCCTCCTTCTAATGCTCTGTTTTCTTTCCTTCTATTGGGCAGATTGTGTTGTCTCTTTGTATTTATCTTTCTCTTTGAAGAATGACTCCTTCACAATGCATTTTCAAGAATTTCTGACCCTTGGTTATGCAGTTCTCAGCCCTTTTATCCTGATTCACAGGGAAGGACACCTGGCTGAATGTTGGCATGCTCAGTAAGATTGGAGGAGCCATGTTGCTTCAGAAAGGGAGGTTTGAAATGGCTGTTAGTATTTTCTATGCCTTGTGTATGTTTTTTAATCAAGTAAGAAAAGCTTAAGCAGGTAAAGACAGTCTGACACAGTACAGCTGGGGGTGAGCAGCCTATGTCTGATACGAGGATCAGATCAAAGAGAGAGGGACCCAGGTATCTTCTCATTTACTCTCACATCATCCTTCAACATTCAGTGTGAACTCTGCATAGATAGATGGAGGTCATTCAGTGTGAACTCTGCATAGATAGATAGAGGTCATTCAGTGTGAACTCTACACAGATAGATGGAGGTCATTCGGTGTGAACTCTACACAGATAGATGGAGGGCATTCAGTGTGAACTCTGCATAGATAGATGGAGGTCATTCAGTGTGAACTCTGCACAGATAGATGGAGGTCATTCAGTGTGAACTATGTATAGATAGATTGGGGTCATTCAGTGTGAACTGTGTGTAGTTAGACAGAGGTCATTCAGAGTGAATTCTGCATAGATAGATGGAGGTCATTTGGTGTAAATTCTGCATCGATAGATGAGGTCATTTGGTGTGAACTCTGCTTAGATAGATGGAGGTCTTATTCCACTGAACTTTAGGTAGTGAAGATCAGCAGAATGATGTGCCAGCATCTGCACAAATTACTGAAGTGAATCCCTTTGACTCAGGAACCCCATTTCTAGGAACTAATCCTTCAGATACACATGTTTACTGAAGAAATACAATTTACAGATTATCTACATCATTCCAAACACATTGCCTAAATACAAAACAAGATGTGCATTTGTTAGCTACTTGATAATATTCGGGGGCTGGGGAGTAACTCAGTGTCAGGGTGACTTCCTCTATGAACAAGGCCCAGGCTCAGCCTCCAGAACCAAAGCAAAGAGAACAACACAACAGGAAACACATCCGCA